ATATTTCCGATATTACAGTTCTTTTTTTTTTTTTTATAGCTAATCGACATGCATGCACAGTGTTGTTTGGATAAAGAAAAAAATAGAGTTACTTTATTAAAGAAAATATGATTACGAAAAGTCATACATATAATTACATGTATATGTTACAAATCACGATAAATTGTGACGAATAAAACGTTGACATTCGAGATGCAAGAATTTATACATGGAGAAGCTTGTTGTGCTTGTGAGTAACCATTACAAAAGTATATAAAAAAAAATATGTCTTGAAATTGAGCATCGGTTAAAGTATTTTCCACCAAGAAAGATTCTAGGTATTAAAGCACAAATCAGTGGGAGCATCATGACTAATGGATATTAATGTAAAAGAGCAACTTGCACAGGAATTTTTGCTTTATTCTTGTACTTCGACTAGAAGTAACGTTTGTTTATAGGTCTCTCTATGTGTATATATATATATGGTAGGATATATATTTCAGAAAAAGAAAAGAGGCCAACTAGAGAGAGCCTTCAAGAACCTTCTTCCACCTTCTGCAACATGCCAACATCCACGGTAATACTACCTAAGTATTATAGATAGGCCAAACTATAACCCAAAACAGAAAAAGAGAAAGAAGAAAAAATTCTTATTATTGAGAGAGAGAGAGAGAGAGAGAGAGAGAGAGAGAGAGAGATGGGGAAGGCACGTAGTGTTGGCATAGGCATGGATTATTCTGCAACAAGCAAATCGGCCCTACGATGGGCAGTCGATAATCTGATACAAGAAGGAGATCGCATCATATTAATCCATGTTGAGCCTCCCAAAGCTACCAATACCAGAAAGCAGCTGTTCGAGGACACTGGATCACGTACGTATATATATGTCTCTCTATTAATTCTCATATGTAACAATACACATCAATCAAATTACATTTATTCTCTGTTTTATTTTTTTGTTCTTCTTCGTTTTATGTGTTGGCAGCTTTGATTCCTCTAGAAGAATTTGTAGAAACTAATGTCTCAAAGCAGTATGGACTTACTAGCGATCCGGAGGTTCTTGATATTCTTGATACAGTTTCTAGAACTAAAGGGGTATGTATGCTCTTAATCTCCTCTTTCCTATTGTAAATGACATTTTGTCTTCGGAGCAATTTTGTATAGCCCAAGCATACATATACAAGTATAGAGAAGTATATGTACAGTACTTGTCCTTTATTTATTTATATATATAAAGAATGGATTGCCGATATTGTATTGATAACTTTGATGTCATTGTCAAATAACAAATGTACCAACATGTTATCGATACATGTTAATTCTTTAATAGTAAATTGAGCTTAGATCCATAAAATTCATTTTTAATCACTTACAGCAATTCCCTTTATTTTTCTATTTAAAATATCCATTTTTT